TAGCATTCTGATGTTTTCAGAACCAGTTTGGGCGAGTCGGCCAAATCAATTTATCGAACATCGATTTCACTATCTACACAAGACATCCACATATCCAGCATCGGAGAGTTGGACGGTACTCGTAGACACGGCATAAAATTTTATGCTAACAACTATTTAGGGTTAAAAATGCAATTAGCTGAAAGATCTGGGATTATTGAATGCAAAGAATTTGACGAAAGTTCAAATAGGCCATTGTTCGCTTGGTGAATTAATGTGATATAGTTACGGTTGAAACAAACGATCTTCCTCATTGATTACAACACTTTTCATTGTTATTATTTATTCCTTTATTTAAGTATTATTGAGTTATATATTAACACGCGGTAGAGCGACGCAGCAGCGTGTTGTCTCTGCAACACGATTAGTTAAGCTCTACCGGGGTAGCACCACGCTCTCACAGAATACCAACCTAAAATAACCTAATGCTGTATTACCTATTGTAAGTGTAGAGAACCGGAAACCAACCCAAATTAATAGATCCTATAAAAGCGAAGCCAAAGTGGGTCGCGGTTTAAAAAATCGTCTAACATTGCTAAATATGGAACACAAAAAGGCCGGCAACGCATCTGCAATTCCCCTGGTTTTGCGGATGTTCATAGGCAGCGGTAGTCACTTACCATCAGGTCTGGAGTGTAACAAACAACTAACGGGGCACTGCAGTTGCAATGTAATATCTCATCAAAGTTAGCGAGATTTTTTTTTATAGAATTAGGGTGACAAACGAGCACATAGTCCACTTGATGGTAAGTGGTTGCTGTGACACATTAAACATCTACATCTATCTTCGTTTGCGAATTAAAATGCTGATGCGTTGTCAGCCGTGAGAACTAAGATAGAATGCCTCTTTTTCGGTAAAAAAGGGTCTCCGGTTCTCTACACTCACCATCAGAAACACAGCAGCATTAAGCTGTTATTTTAGGTTGGTATTCTGTGAGAGCATGGTCCTTTCCCGGTGGAACCGACCTATTCGTGCTACAACTATACTATTAATATAGCTTCAGCATGGCTCTACCACGTAAAAAAGATAAACCTAGGATGAACTGCCTAACTGCATCATTAAACTCTCCCGATCTCTATCCGCGGTACATTGCAGCGCAGCATCCCATTTTTTAAACTAATTAACGGAGATTAAAATGAGATATTCCTCGTTATATAGCATTACGTTTACATTTGTATAAGAATTGTTTATGTTGTGTTAACATCTATGGTAGCTTAACAGTCAAAGTAACTGAGCGAGCTGTTTGTTTTATTATAGTATTAGAGTGAAAATGTAGACGCGTTGTCACCCCTGACGACTGAGATGGAATAACTCGTTTATAGTTAAAAGAGTCTCCGGTTCTCTACACTCACAATACGAAACACAGGATTATTCTGCTGGGATTCTGGTATTCTGTAAAAGCGTGATCGTGAACGTAAACATTCTGAGTTTTAAACAAGTATAAATGTAAGTTTCTATGGGCTATTGCATCCACATACCATTAGGTGGGTCACTCGCATGTGCTCGTTTGTCATCCTCACTCTATAAAAATACATACATAATTAAGTTTATACGGACCCCTCACGTCTCGAGTCGTAATCGCATTCGAATCGCACAGTTATGCTAAATGTGAAAAGGGTCAAAATATATCTCATAAATATTAACACTCGGTTACCTTAGTGTCGATGTTTGGACGGTAACATATTTAAAATTTAAATATCTGACTGTAGATTCAATTGAAATTCGCAACAGAGCGGGATGTCGTTGCTCTGGGACTGCATTATTTATCGCGCAGATCATGCGACATGTGGGATGGACTTTGTTATATTTGTAGTCCTAATACTCAACTAAAAACTAAATAATATCTAATATGAACAATAATATAAAGTGTAGCGGTGGTGTAAGAACTGCCACTACCCAATATCGTCCCGCGTGTTATGTACACTCTACAACGGATACAGCCAGCTTGTCACTTGCCACGGCCATTGAGTCGCGCCGCGGTCAGCACATTCCAACGCAGCCTGCGGGGACTCGGCCAGCTCGGAAGTTTAGATCTAAGTTGTATCTCAAATTGGAATGTTATTTGGAATACTGACGTAAAATAGCAGCTTAATGCTGCTGTGTTGCTGTAAAAAGGGTATCCGGTTCTTTACACTTGCTATACGAAATAGCAAGTGTAAAGAACCGTACACCCTTTTTACTGGAAACGAGGCATTACATCTCAGTCATCAGGGTTGACAACCTATCTGAATTTTGATTATATATTGGGGATAAATGTAGATGTCTATGGGCCACAGCATCCACTTAGCATCAGGTGGACTGTGTGCTCGATTGTCACCATTATACTATAAAAAATGTTGGCTGCAGGCAGCTGCAGTAGGCACTTACTATCAGGTGAACTGTCAGCTTGTATGCAATTACCTTAAATAAAAATGTATTCAGAGAACGTCCCCGGCCTTGTTACTGATCAATTATATTGCACACGAGTCCTCATCTCACGTTCCGCGGAAAGTGCCTTCCGTAAGAGGCAAACAATGCGTTGCTAAGACGTAGCTCCGCGCTGGAACAAAGAAAGTCGTGTTTTGTGCAAGTTGATGCCTAGATGTTTTTTTTTTCTCATATTTTAGTAATGTACTTTTTGTATTTAAAGTTGTGTATACACTGTGGTATTTGAAACATGGATTGCGAGTGCGATTGCTAATTTAGTAGGGGATATATTTTAGATTTTAGGCGATAGTTTCGAGTAATCTCCCGCATTCAAAAGACGTGTTGTAAATAGTACTTAAATTCCTTGGGTTTTAAACGATATTTGTACAAAAAGACATATTTTGTATATATTATTTATAATATTTAATGACGGAGAGAAATAAACTTTTAATAATAAGTAAAAGCGAACTATATTTTAAATAATATTATATCACGTATATATGAAGAGCCACGCTGCAGCTATGGTATGGTACCAGCACGTATGGGTCAACTCAATAGAGGAAGGACTACTCTCTCATAGAATATCAGCATAAAATACTAGATTAATGCTACGAAAATAGCTTAAATGTTTCGTATGGTGAGTGTAAGGAACCGGAGACCCTTTTTATCGGAGACGAGGCATTCTATTTTACTCCTCAAGGGTTGTTACGTAACTCCGTTTTTATTCTTAAACGAAGAAAGATGTATATGTACATAAGTCACAGCATCCACTTACCATCAGGTTGACTGTGTGTTCGATAGTCACACTTATTCTATTAAAAAAAGGAACTTAAAAGTCGTAGGTTCAAATCTGCCACTCGACTACTGTCGTGAACTACTCGTTACACCATTATTATTTCGTTTACTTTTACGTTTACTTTATTAAGAATACCCACAACAGTAGGCATGCATTTGTATTTGATTTTTTTATAAAATGTTAACAACGAATACAGATTCATATATCTGGCGATTTAATAAAATGTATCCATCCATTACATTGTATAAAAGCTCACTGCTGAACATACATGTTCCTCCCTCAAAGATTGTCCCACAGGGAGGGTTTTGCCACATCAGCTTGTTATTTTTAAGATGTGCAGCAGCGCTTTCGTGATAACAACTCGAAATCAATGAAGCTGCGGTTGACAACCCGCCTGCCAAGCATGACAACTGTGGCAAAGTCCCCTATGAGACAATGTATGGAGGAGGCCTGTGTGTTAAGCAGTAGATTTTTAATAATAATAATAATGTCCTCCAGACCAAATTTCGGTCACGGTGGCCAATCTCAACGGAGACTAGCCATCTGCGCAGGACAGGATTATAGTGCCCAAGTGTATGCGCAAGCACTGGTGCACTCTCTATTCCCTCACTCTCATAGTCCGATGGGACGGTAAACCGACACGACCGGAGAGAGATCAGGCGCAGGACCAATGGCTTTACGTGCTTTCCGAGGCACGGGGGTAAGACACCGCTAACTACCTGACTCCGGGCAGCTACTGAGAATTTCTCGAAGAAAAACTCAATAACTGATTTTTTGGCCCGACCCGGGATTCGAACCCGGGACCTCATGATCAGCAGTCGCACTACTACAACCACTAGACTAACGAGGCAGTCGAACGAGTGCCTGCTGTACTGCTATATGTCAGAGGTGTCACTGATTAGATTGGCTATATCTTGAAGCGTGCTTCCAATAAAACATACTTCAAGCCGCCGAAGAACTTTAGTCAGTTTTTACCATCAGTCAAGTGTAATGTTCCTCTGCAAGATGCAGAAGTGTACAAGTTTGATTGTGAATGTGGTCTCTCTTATATAGGACAAACCAAAAGATCCATATAAACCCCCGTTAAAGAACACATAGCTGATGTGAAGAATCGAAGCTCCGGGAAGTCTGCAGTCTGTGAACACGTACAGGATCGCCCCCGTCACTACATTAGATTTAATATACCACAAATCCTCGCTAAAGAACAGTGATTCCTTCCAAGGATGATTTGCTAAGCTATTTGTTATAGATTTATAATGTCAAAGGCAACACTAGTTGTTGTCTCTAGTTTTTGTTTATGGTCATCTGCCAGAAAAATAAAAATCCTTTTTGTTATAACACGTGGTTGTATTAATTAATTATTTTTCCCGTGTCTAAAGTAAAATATAACAATTGGCGACGAGGATGAACCAAAAGGAGTGAAATTAATTAGTTTTTTTTACCAATTCCTATACCAGATTAGGAAATAAAATTTAACGCAAAGACAAACGTGTAACATAACCTACAAGTGGAATGAATGTTTTTACCATTACATGGATCTAATCGAATATTTGATTAAACAAGGAAAAAAATCTTGGATACAAGAAAAAAACTAAAGAAGAATTAATAGAAATTGCTAATATATTAGCAAAAGAAACAAAATTCTTGGACACGCATACCATCAAAGACGTTCGAAAATACTTACGTGAATACGTTGATAAACAAAAAGAAAAAATTCGTACAGTCCGCTTAATCACTAGTCCTAGTTCTATTAGCACAATGAATTCTATCACTACTTTGGAAGTTTTCACCGGTGAAAATTGGAATGCGTACCAGCAACAATTTGAATGTTTCATAGTTCTAAACGACATCCCAGAGGAAAAGAAGGTCCCATTACTTATAACAAAACTTAGCACAAACGTTTATGATTTATTGACCACATTATGCACACCCATATCGCCGGTTACCGAAACATATAATAATATTTGCGAAAAACTGAGAAAATACTATCACCCATTAAAAAATTATGCCCTTTATCAAGCAGAATTTCGAAGCAGATGTCAAAAACCTAATGAAACAATAGATCAGTATATTATGGAATTAAAGAGACTGTGTAAATATTGCAATTTCAAAAATTTAAATGAAGAAATAAAGGAAAGATTACTAAATGGTACTTACTGTGATTCAGTTAAATTTGAACTGTTGAAACAAGCCGATCAGCCATTAGAAAGTTTAATTAACATTGGAAAAACTGTGGAGACAGCATATAAGCTGGCTTTTAATAATGAAAAAGAGCAGGAAAAATCACAAATGTTTAAAATACAAGGCAAATATTTTAACAGAAACCATAGTGTTATAGCTAGGCAAAATGTAAACCCAGCCATCCAGCAGAGTATCACATGTTTTTGTTGTGGTAAAAATGGACACATTAAAGCACATTGTACCCTACGAGAAAAATTTTGCAGTGAATGTGGTGTAAAAGGCCATATCTTTAAAGTGTGTAGAAAAAATAAGAAAACAAAAGTAAAAAATTTAAATGTAGTGCAAAAATTTAATTCAGAAAATAGTGATGTAAATTCGGATAAAAACCTCCCCATTAAAGACATTGAAAACTTTGATATCTTCTGTTTTAGTAATACAGGAAAAGTTCCATCAACTACTTTAAAGATCTTTGTAAATGGAAAGGTACTAGAGTTTGGGGTTGACACTGGGGCTGATGTAAGTACTATTACTTTACTCGATAAAAACAAGTTATTCCCGGAGCTAGAGATAAAAAAATGTAATGTTCTTTTTACTAATTTTGACCAGTCTACTTCAACGCCTTTAGGAATTATAGAAAACTTGAGTATAAGTTATGGATCTATTAAAGTTAATAATCAGAAATTATTTGTTGTAAAAGATGGATTGCCCAAGGTTATAGGTAAAGATTGGCTTTCTTCACTTCAATTGTGGCCCCCAAAGTTTGAACAAAGGGTTTGTGAAAAAGCGTCAAAAAATAAATTAATACAAAACATATTTGAAAAGTTCAGCAATCTTTTTGAGCCAGGTATGGGGGTTTTTCGAGGAGAACCAATTCATTTTTTAATTGAACCAGGTGTTAAACCAGTATTTATGGCTGTCAGAACTGTTCCATTTGCTCTAAAAGATAAAGTAAAAGAGGAAATAAATAGATTGATCAAAAATAAACGTATAGAGCCAGTTGAGTATTCTGAGTGGGGGACACCAGTTGTTCCAGTTTTAAAACCAGATGGAACGGTTCGTTTATGCGGTGACTATCGTATAACAATAAATAAGCATTTGAAGATAGACCATTATCCATTACCAACAATTGATAATATTTTGATGAAATTACAGGGTAAAAACTACTTTTGTGAATTAGATTTACAAGAGGCTTACTTACAAGCCCCATTAGATAAAGAATCCCAAAAATTAGTAACAATTGTTACTGAAGAAGGTATCTTTAATTGTTTATTTTTACCTTATGGTGTGAGTACTGGTCCTGGTTCATTCCAGAGGTTATTAACACAAAAATTGAATGGACTAGATATAATTGTTTATATTGATAACATATATGTTTATGGAAAGACATTGAAAGATACATATGAAATCATAATTCTTGTTCTACAAAGATTAAAAGATTCAGGATTAAAATTAAAAAAGAATAAATGTAAGTTTTTTGAAAACAAGCTGGATGTTTTTGGATTTGAAGTAAATAATAATTCTGTAAAAATTATAAAAAGTAAAATTGAACCTTTGTTGTCTTTGCCTCGCCCAAGTAATATAGAAATGCTAAAATCATTTTTAGGGAAAGTAAATTATTATAACAGATTTTTACAAAATATGGCAATTATATTAAAACCAATGTATGATTGTCTAAAAAAGGATAGATTCGAGTGGACAGAAGAGTGTGACAAATCATTTAAAGAAATAAAAAATAGTCTGGCAAATACATCTTCATTATCACATTTTGATCAAAATTCAACAATTATATTAACTTGTGATTCTGCAGATTGTGGGGTAGCTGCTGTATTGTCTATAAAAAACAGTAATAACATAATAAAACCAGTAGCATTTGCAAGTAAAAAATTAAATGATTCTCAAATGAAATACCCAATTTTGGAAAAGGAGGCTTATGCAATAATTTTTGGTGTAAATAAATTTTATGAATATTTATTTGGAAAAAAATTTATTTTACAAACTGATAATGAGGCTCTAACTAAAATATTAGGAACGAAGTATGGAATACCAAAAATGGCAGCAAGGCGATTACAATACTGGTCAATTTTCTTAAGTGGATTTAACTACGAAATTCAACACATAAAATCTAAAAATAACCCTGCTGACTATTTGTCACGTGTAGTTACCACATTTCAAGATGATAATTTAAACAACTTAGAATTTCTTGAAAATAACTATGAATGTAACACAATAAATTATATTCATAAATCAAATTTAAATACATTAAATTGGCAAACTATTCAAAGCGAAACAAAAAAAGGTAAAATTATATGTGATATTCTTAGATACTGTAGAGATGGCTGGCCAGCAAAAAATGATCTTGGTGAAGAATATGAACCATATTTTGTCAGAAAAAATGAGATCTCAATGGAAAAAGAATGTTTGTTGTGGGGGTATAGGGTAATAATACCTAAAAATATAAGAGATAATGTCATGTGTGAGTTAAATGCTAGCCATTTAGGCACCACACGAATGAAAGAAATAGCAAGATCTTATTTTTGGTGGCCAGACATGGATAAGGAAATTGAAATTATAACAAAAAATTGTATTATTTGTTTACAAAACCATAAGAACCCAGAAAAAACCAAATTAACAGTGTGGCCGCAGCCACCTACTGTTTGGCATAGAATACATGCAGATTTTTTGGGCCCTCTTTATTCAAAAATGTTTTTGGTTATTATAGACGCTTACTCTAAATGGCCAGAAGCATATATTATGAATAAAATTACTGCACAAAAAACAATTGAAGTGTTCAAAAGTATTTTTGTAAGGTATGGGTATCCCTTACATCTAGTTACTGATAATGGCCCAACATGGACAAGTGAAGAATTTAAAAATTTTTGTAAAATTGTGGGAGTAAACCAGACTTTTACTCCAACATACTACCCACCCAAAAACGGGTTAGCGGAACGTTCTGTGGAGTCTTTCAAATCTCATGTAGTAAAGATTGTAGAGAGTGGCCATACGGTTGAATATGCATGTAATTTATTCCTATTTGATTATAGAAACACTGTACATAAAACTACAGGCCAGAGTCCAGCAAAATTGATGTTTGGCAGAGAGTTGAGATGTCGTTTCTCGTTATTAAGACCAAACCCAGTAGGGGACAAAATTGATACTGAGCAAGTAAAGCTTATAATCAATAGTAAAAATAACTTTAAAACATTCACACTGGTGAAAAGGTCATGGTGAGAGATCATAGAAAAAATAAAAATAAGTGGTCTTTGGGTAAAATTATTGAAGTTTTAATACCGGGTGTAACTTATATGGTAGAAGTGGATGGACTTTATTGGAAACGACATGTCAATCAATTACTTGAATGTGGACAGTGATAGAATAAAAAATATTTATTTAGGTTATTACATTATACTGAAATATTAATAAGTAGCATAAAAAGTTTTTTTTTTTTCGGTGTGGGGGGAGAGTGTTATGGATTTATAATGTCAAAGGCAACACTAGTTGTTGTCTCTAGTTTTTGTTTATGGTCATCTGCCAGAAAAATAAAAATCCTTTTTGTTATAACACGTGGTTGTATTAATTAATTATTTTTCCCGTGTCTAAAGTAAAATATAACACTATTGAAATCAAAAACATCTTAATTTCAATAGAGAAGATGGCTGGGTGCTACAATCTATTGGGATCACATAATTAATAAAATTAAATCCCAACCCAAGCATACAAGTGCAAGATTTCAAGATACTGTAAGTTCATACTGCGAAGATCAGAACAAAAATTAATAATTTTTAATTTGGAGGTAGCCGTGGTTTATTAATTGGGACGTCATATACCCTAGTCTACCCCGTGACTATGGGTGCTGTAAAGTGCTCGAAACGTCGGGAATATAAAATAGTTAATATCCACGATAAACTCCGTAACATTAGTTTTATTTAAATGTGTAGTGTTCGCGTAAATATAAGAAATCATTAAAATAGAAGCGTGGGCAAAATATGATTGTGTTTTTTTCTCCCACTGCGTGTGGCTGCAAGTTCTCACTCAATAAGCAAAAGGCAGTGAATGTTGAGTGGGACATCATCATTTGTTTGACCAAGAAGTCCTATTGCACCATGACGATGTTTCTGAAAAGGTGGAGCTCGTGAACCATCCCGAACACTATCCAGACCTAACACCAAGCGGTTTCAACCTGAACACTATGAGTACCAGACAAACATATGTTTATAGCACATGTATTTTAATTCGAAAGCTATTAAACAGAACAGTACACACGCAGATAAGTTTTACAACTACATCATCAAAATATAGTTTTCGGAACAGTAACAAATCATCACTGAGATTGTCTAAAACAAATTATGGCAAGAAATGTATATGTCGCAGAAAGATAGTTAAAGCCGTGATATAATTATATCCCTAGGGATATCCCTAGCTGTATACCGTTTAGTGAAATATTTATAATTGTAAACTGAATGTACAGGAGGAACAAATTTCGCGACATTGACGTTCTTGTTGTGTTGTTGTTCGTGTTTCTTTTTTGTCAGTGGTATAAGCCTCATACAATTTAAAGGGCGCAATTATACAATGCACTATATATAATTAATAATATACATAAGAAAAGTAAGCTGTTTTACAATCCATTACAGCATATAAAGTCCACTGCTGAACATAGATCTCCATAGATTGCCTCATAGGGATTTTGCCATAGTTGTCATGGTCATGGCTGCCATGGCATGCAGGTTGGCAACCGCAGTTTTTATAATTTTCAGTTATCAAGAAGATACTCGTACTGCTGCCCATTTCCTGTTCCAGTTTCCGTCTGTCGCCTCTCCCGACACACATGCGGAGACATGGTGCAGTGGATATTCTTGCACCGCCACTACACGGTTAATTATAAATAAAGTTAAACTTAGAAACTCCATCAAGCGCAGCTAACAACTGCTATAATATTGTTTTAAATAAAATAATAAATGTTACCTAGCTTAGGATTCGGATCAGAATACCAGGTGACTTAACGCCATATTAATGTAGCCTGTTGTATATGTACTTCTCATTAAGTGAACAATGTTCTTTTGAGAAATAAAGTTGTGTTTCAACATAACGTCTATAATAGTATTATTATCTGTACTTTTTGGTGAATAATATAGCTTTTATGGTAAGATGGCATAGTCTTTGTGTGGTGAAATAAATACATTCCATCTCTCTTTGTATTTAAATAGTACTCGAGCTGGCAGCAGTAATGATGCCATTAGAAGCGACAGCTCGCCGCAAAGATTATCTCTTTGAGACGCCGCGCTTGTGTTTCTGTACCGGCGCCGCGTCACTACTGGCTTGTGGGAAAATAATTCCCTTGTGACTGTTCCTAACAAAGCAATTATCAGAAACATTGAATCCGACAGCAGTCATCTATTGTAACAGTTCAAATTAATTAAGATACGAAGTTAACGTAGATTACAGGTTGTGAGGCATTCCATGTTATTCCCAAGAGTTAATAACGCAACTGTAGTATTTATTAAAGTTTATTGTTAAAAGTTGTATTATTTATTATATTAAAGTTATTGTTTAAAGTTTAGTTTATTGTTTAAAGTTGCAGGTGCAAATTTTTGTATGTGGTAGAGTTGTAGCTATATTATATTATTCTTTTAGAATAAGCACACAATTCACCTTATGGTAAGTGAATGCTGTGACCAATGGACAACTACATATATATTCTATGTAATCGTGGTTCCTCCCCGGATGATCCGATCCGACCCATAAGTGCTGCAACCACATTATTGCAGCGTCTCTCTACTACATAAAATAATAATGATTGTTCCATAACCCTCCAATGATTGCAAAAAGATCCCCCCCCCCCCCCATCCTGCTGTGGTACGAAGGCTACAAAATTCATATTTATTACTTAGTATTAATATTATAAAACATGCTTTAGAAACAACATAATTTTCATTTTAGTTATAAATTATTTATTAAAATGAACGACACTAGGACGTACAATGTAAAAAAGTTTTTTCTGCAGCGGACATATTATGTCATTAAAGGTTTTAAGGCACTGTAAAGAGGCGGAACATCTTCGCTTTCTGCCTACTTATTTGTTTAGAAAAAAATATTTTTTAAATATATTTGAACACAGAACATTCTTCGTTCATGGACTCTTAACTCATAAACGAACAGCTCCGTGGCGCAGTGGCTTAGCAATGATTTGCAGCGTTAAGTGCCGCGGGTTCGAATCCCGCACGGAACAAGTATTTATATGGCCTTCAAATAATTGTTCCTGGTCTGGATGTTTATCCTTGTGCAATTTATGTTTGTTAACTGTCCCCATGATATAGGAAAAAAACACTTGTGTGTGATACAACACTGAAATAGGTAATGATTTCTTATATTTACGCGAACACTACACATTGAATAAAACTACTTTTACGGATTCCATTGCGTTTAATAAATATTTTTTTTAATTAATGCCTGACGTTAAAGGCGCTTTACAGCACCCATGGTCAAAGGGGACTGAGGTGATTGACGTCCCAATGTCAGAGTTAATCCGGAGAACCTTCAGCTTTTTAAATTATTAATTTTGTTCTGATATACGCAGAATGAACTTACCGTATCTTGAAGTCTTGCAGTGGAATGCCAGCCTCCCTCTCTGGTTGAGATTTTCTGTCTAGATATTCTCAGTGTGTCAGCAGCCCGGAGTCAGGAAGTTGGCAATGTTTCATCTCCATTCATCAGAAAGTACACAAAACCGTTGTTTCTGTACGATTGAGTATTAAATTTTTAATCTTCCACTACTATGGTGTGATTTTCTGTGTTTCATCTCGTAAGAACGAGATACGATCTCACAAAACACCAGCCTGATATAGCAGCTGTGTTTCGTATGTAGAGTGAATGAAAAGAACTGGAGAGCTTTTTCATTTGAAACGAGGCATCCAATCTTAGTCCTCAAGGTGACAATGCGTCTGCATTTTAATTCTTAATCGAGAATGTATGTGTTGGTTGTCCTCGGCACTGTTCCCAATTCAGTCAACAAACTTCCGTCAAGTGATTCATTTATATATTTTTAAATTTCAGGAGATGATCTTCTTGGCGTCTACAATGTTTGTCGCCTGGTGTGCAATCCCCGCTTGGGTACTGGTGAACCTCAAGAGCTATCGCGACAAGGAATGAACAACTAAATGCATATAAAGCAGTCATTATATAGAGATTTGTGTTCAAAGTAAAGTTATTTAATTACAGAGTTTTTTTTAAACTATCCTTGCCTCTTTATTTATCTGAACATAGAACTGGCATTTCAGCTAGGAATGGTAGACATTTAATAAGTTATGGTTTGGAACGAAGTTCCTTATGGCACGGTACGAATTTGACGGATAGGGGCTAGGCGCGAAAAAGTGTAAGATATTTCCGTCGGGACCGCCTTTCTATAGTGCGAGCGAGATAGAATAATAACTATCTCCCTCGCACTTTTTCTTATCTTGCCATGAAAGAAATATTATTTATAGGCTACAAAAGTCAGGTTTTTTGTTGTCTTTTAAACACAATGCATAATGTGCTTTATAATTATTATTTGGAAATGATCTGATAAACGAATAATTTAATAGTGTTTCTAAAGAATGAGGATGACAAACGAATACACAGTCTACCTTATGGTAAGGAGATGCTCTGGCCCATAGACATCTCCATCATCTACATCTATCTTCGATTAAGAATCAAAATAGAGATGCGTTTTCACCACTAAAAAGTATGACGAAATGACTCGTTTCCAGTAAAAAGGGTCTTCGCTACTTTATACGTACTTACCATAAGAAACACGGCAGCATTAAGCTGCTACTCGTATTTTAATCCAGTATTCTATGAGGGTGTGGTCCTTCTCCGGTCAAACCGATCCATTCATGTTACAAACATAATATAGTTGCAGCCTGGGTCTAACATGTACTCGTGTGTGTGCGTGTGTGTGTGTGTGTGTGTGTGTGTGTGTGTGTGTGTGTGTGTGTGTGTGTGTGTGTGTGTACTCGTTTGTCCACCTTGAGTAATTCTAAATGAAAATATCAAATTTCAATCAAAAAGTCCACATAGTATCAGAAAACTAGATTTTATAACAAAGTGAACGACATGACGGACACAGCTTATTATTAAAAAAAAATATTTTGTATCGAATTCTTCATACAAAAGACATTTTCAACAGACATTTTCAAAAGCCAGTCGTAAAGCTTCATTCCCGTATTATAACCGTTTAATTAAAACCGTGGAGT